ATAATAGTAAGTAATATATTCTATAGTATAGTAATTATAATATTAATAAGGCTAAATAGACTTTAAAAAGGGTTTATAAATAAAAGCCTATACTTAGAAGAATACTCTAGTATTATAAAGGTAGTTAGTAATACTTATCTTATAGACTCTAATAATAAAAGTAGTTTTTAATCTAGCTTCTAGATAGGCTTAAATAGCCTTAACTAATATAATATTTACTTTATTAGTAGCTAAGAGCTTTATAGTAAGGTTAAAGGTATTCTATAAGATCTTTAAGATAGGTACTTCTTTAATTACTATAAAGTATTCTTACTAAGTAAGGTATACTTCCCTAGTATAAGCTACCTTAACCTATTTATTATTCTTAGTATAATCCTTTACCTCTTTATAGAAGGAAAGGATTATATCTCTAAAGGGAAGTTAATAGGTAGTTATAATAATATCTACCTTTAAGGCCTTATTAGCCTTAATAATAAGCTCCTATAGGTAGAGAGATTAAATCTCTTCTAGGTAGGAATAGTAGTTAACTAGTAGCTTAGTATTATAATAGGCTAGAACTAGCTTTACCTAGAGGCCTAGGGGCTTCTAGGCTGCCTCTATATAAGAGGTAGGCTAAGGATTACTTACTAGGTATTCCTAAAAGGCCTTTACTATAATATATTAAATAGCCCTAAGGGGGATAAGCTTTATATCTATAATAGCTATCTCTTTCTATATAGTATAGATAGAGTTTATAAGCTTTTATACCTTATTAAGACTCTCCTATAGTATTAAAAGGAGTATTTTTTTTAAGTCTTCTTTAAAGATTCCTAATAAAAGCTAGGCTAGGCATATACTATCTATATATAAGTATTACCCCTAGATAGGTTCTATAACTATATTTTTAATATTTCTACTTATAATTACTATGCCTATAAGCTAGGTACTTTCTAGATTTATAGACTAACTAGTTATTAAGTTAACTTACTTACTAAACTTATTTTTTATATTTTAGCCTATAGGTAGGTATAGGGTAAGTTAGGCCTAGTATCTACTTATAAAGATAAGACTTTAAATAAAGGTATTACTTATATAATTAATATAGATATTATTAATAAAGAAACTATAATAAATCCTTAGTATAAGTATATATAATATTATATTAATATAAAATATATAAAAACTAATAAATATATTAAATCTAATATTATATCTAGTAGGTATATTCTTTTTTTAAGATAACTTCTACCTTTTTTAATAATATACCTATTAAATTATATACTTTTTATTATTCTAGTATAATATATTATTAATACCTTTATAATAACTTAAGTAATTATTATTATAATAAAGTTACTAAATAGTATTAGTAGAAATAGAAAGATATAAAAAGTAGGCTATTTAATAATTTAATTAAATAAAAAGTAATAAAGTATATTATTTATTATATCTTATTATTATTTTACTAATATATTTAACTAAACTTAGGCTATTATTTAAGATTATACTATAAAATAAGCCTATTTAAAAGCTAGTTATTTAAAGACCTATTACTTATAATTTATATAAGGTATTAGTATAGTATATACTATTTATACCTAATATATTATATATTACTTACTAATTTAGTAAATAATCTCTAGAAATATTATATACTATATTTAATATTATTATTAGTAATATTAGAATTAGTACTAAACCTCTACTATACTAAGTAGCTATAAAGACTTTATAAGTAATATAAAATTACTTATAGAGAACTTTAAGTCTATAAGTAGATAGTTAGAGTCTACCTATACTTATATTAACTATTTAATAAGATAGAAAATAACTTATAGTATTTATAATATATATTTAACTTTATATATATTAATTACTAATTCCTTATAAATACTATATATATTCTTAAAAGTTAAGCTAGTTTAGTTTAAAAAGAGTATAGTATTATATATTATATTATTATTCCTATAGAATTAGTAATACCTTATATAGCTATTATCTCTTTAAATACTTATAGCTATCTACTATTACTACTAACTAAAATCCCTAGTAAGATTAAGAAGCTATTAATAACTACTTTACTATATAATAACTTAATACTATAGTATTTAAGTAAGTTATTAACTATATAATATTAAGCTTATATTAATATTCTATAAATAAATAGATTTAATCTTCTTAGCTTAGTAATCTTTTAAGAGAGCTAAATAAGTTATTTTTTTTAAATATCTACTTAAGCCTAGTAAATATAAGCTAGTTAGGGTATCTTCTTAAGAAGAACTACCTAATATATTACCTACTTAAGTCTAGAAGGCTAGCTATATATTTTAAATAGTTCTTATACTATAAAAATAGTATAAATCTAGTATATTATTACTTTATTATTATAAGGATATTACTAATATATTATAATATATTTAGATATATTTTAATAACTAATAAGACTATTTTATTATAATATTTTATAAAGAATAAGTAAAGCTATTTAAAAGCTTTAATTTAAAGACTTTTATATTAGACTTAAATTATAAATATATTAAAAGCCTTAAGAACTATAAGGTTATTTAAGGCTATTATAATAAATAAGTAAAAAAAGGTAAGTAAGAGTTTTATAATATATTTACTATCTTTTATTAATAGCTTAGCTCTCTTATTACTATAAGCTATTATAAGCTTTTAAATAAGGTCTATATACCTTAATATATTTTAAACTACTTTTTAATACCTTAAGGATTAATATAATATTAAACTAAAGTAGTATTATCTTTATAATAATAAAGGTATTCTTAGTATTATATTTAATTAAGATTTAGCTTATATTTAAAGTAAGTTATTTAAAAGTCTTCTTTAATATATATAATATATTATACTAATATATTATAGCTTTTAGGGACTATCTATCTACTATTAATCTTTAAGAATAGTTATAAGAGTAATAAGTATAAAGTACTATATAATTATATATTATATACTTTAAAAGAAGAATTAGTAAGTTATATTTATACTATTATAAATACTTTACTAATATACTATATTATAGTAATATAATTATAAAAAATAAGGCTTTTAAAAGATAAGAGATTAAAATAATATATATATAGTCTTCTTAAAACCCCTTTTTATAAAGAATATTAATATATTTATATTATAATAAAATAAAGTAAGTTATTATTATTTTATACTAAATATATTTACTAATCTTTATAAATAGATTAGCCTACTATTAGCTACTAGGTTTAATATAAAGAAATTCTATATATTACTTTTAGCTTATATAATATATATTCTTTAATACCTATTTAAAATTAGTCTATAATATCTTTTACCTTAAATAATATAAAGTAGTTATATACTACCTTTTATAAGAGTAGTAGAAGGTATTTAACCTTATTATTTACTATAAAAGGGTAAGTTATTTATAATTTTATAAAGATATATAACTAATACTTTAATAGTAATATAAGATAAGACTAAAGTCTTATAGACTAATATAAAGCTACTTTATAGTCTAATACCTTTCTAAGCTATTAAGATATATCTTTTAAAGGCTATTTTAAATATAGAAATTAATATTCTTATAAGTTATTACCTATATTATATATATTTATTACTAATAATATATAGGTATTATATAAGGTACTAAGCCTTTATAGGTAGAAAGCTATAATATATTAGCTATTAGTAGCTAGGCTTTATTTATTATACCTTCTTTACCTATTATTTAGCTATTTTAAAG